CTGCCCGCCTCTTGGGAGCGCCGCTCGCAGTCGACGAGGACCGGCAGGCAGTCGACCGTACGCCGGAGCAGGGGCAGCACCGTCGCGTTGGAGGCGAGGTGGAAGTCGAGGTCCTCGGTCGCGATGGGCGGCAAGAGCAAGCATGGCCGCCGGCAGCCCCAGCGCTGCGGCCCCAAGGGCGCGAGCAAGATCCTCGACGCCGGCCCGCACGCGCTCTACCTCTCCGGCGAGCACTTCGCCCAGCGCAGAGACGCCATGGAGGCCCTGGGCATCACGCGCGTCGTCGCCTGCGGCTGCGACGCGCACCATCCGAGCGCCTTCGCGTATACCTCGAGGTGCGGCTGCGCGACGCGGCGAACGCCAAGGTCGCGCCGCACCTCGCGCGCGCGGCGGACTTCGTCGCCGCGGGGCTGCGCGAAAGCTCCGTTTTAGTGCACTGCAAGGCCGGCGTCTGCCGATCGGCGGCGCTGGTCATGGCCTACCTCCTGCGCCACCGGCGCGACGTCGCGCCGTCGGTCGCGGACGCGCTAAAGGTCGTGCGCGCGGCCCGGCGCTGCGCGACCCCGCGGGAGACGTTCCTGCGCGAGCTCGAGCGGTTCGAGGCGGAGAACCGCGGCGGCGCGCGCGGGGCTGCGGCGCTCGACGAGCTGCCGGCGGAGGTCCTCGGCGCCGTCCTCGGCGCGCTGCCCGGCGCGGACCTCCCCGTCGCCGCCGCGGCGTCGCGCCGGATCTCGGCCGCCGCGGACGCCGTCGCCGCGCGGCGCCTCGAGGAGCTGGCGTCCTTCGATTTTCGGCCGAGGTGGCCCGGCGAATCGCGGGCCGTCCACCTCCGCCGGTGCGTCGAGGACGTCGACCGGCAGGTCCGGACGTGGTGGGCGCCCGCGGACGCGACGATTTAACATAGCCCGCCGGCGGGAGAGGTTCGACCTTAAGCCGCCGCGTAGTGGAGCTTGAAGACGAGGCCGTTCTTCGCGAAGGCGAGGTTCGCGATTTCGGCGGGGATGGGGAGCACGAGGCCCGCGTCCGCGGCGATGGCAGAAACCTCGCCGAAGCCGAGGAGCTCGGCCTTGGCGAGCGCCATGGACGTGAGCGTCGGCCGCGCGGCGACGACCGTGACGTTCCCGGACGGCGCGGCCGGCGCCGGCAGCGGCAGTTCGCCCGCGGGCTTCGTCGTCGGGACCATGACGTAGAGCGCGAGGCCGTCGCCGGCGGCCTTGCTCGTGTAGAAGGCGCTCGCGCCGTCGCTGTAGGGGTAGGCGGGCGCGGCCCCGTGGAGCGCCTCGCCGTTGACGGCCATCCACGCCGCGAGCTCCGCGAGCGCACCGTCGGCCGACGCCGCGAGGGGGCCCGCGGGCGTCGGGGACACGTCGAGGAGGTAGTTGCCGCCCTTGGCGCGGATGAGCATGAGGTTCGCGATGACGAGGTTCGCGGGCTTCTGCGCCGAGGCGGGATCGTAGGCCCACTGCTTCGACGCCTGCAGCACCGACGCGACCTCGAAGGGCGCGCCGGAGAAGGACTGGTAGTCCAGGACGCCCTGGAGCACCAATGCCTCGCTCTGGTCCGGCAGTTCCAGATAGTCGCTGAAGACGCCGTTTCGCGACAGCACGAGCGCGCGCGGGTTCGCGGCGCGGATCGCCGGCGCGACGGCGTCGAGGCGCGTGTCCCAGGGCGGCGCGTTGTGGCAGTCGAACCAGAAGATGTCCGGAGCGTAGTTCTTCGCGAGCTCCGCGACGAGGCCGTGGAGCCGGTCGACGTGGCGCCGCCAGCGCTCCGGGTGCTCGGCGACGTCGTAGGTCGGCATTTCCCCGCCGTTCGCGTTCGGCGTCGCGAGGGGATCGGGATAGACGAAGTCGACGTCCTCGGGCCCCCACTGCGTCGTGCAGAGGTAGGCGCCGACCTTGAGGCCCGCGGCGCGCAAAGCCGCCGCGAGCTCGCCGAAGAAGTCGCGCGCGAACGGCGTCGTCTCGACGTTGTAGGTCGCGACCTTGGAGGGCCAGTTGGCGAAGCCGTCGCAGTGCACCGTCGTGTAGACGACGTACTTCATGCCCGCGTCCTTGGCGCGCGTCGCGAGCGCCGTCGCGTTGAAGTCCTTCGGGTCCCAGGTCTTCGCGAGGTCGAAGTACTCCCGGCGGTGCGCCGCGAGCTCGTCCGTCGTCGTGAGGTTGCGCGGGACGTTCTTGGGACCGGGCACCGTGCAGGGCAGGGTCGTGCAGACCAGCGGCCAGCCGATGTCCGTGCCCCATTGTGTCACTGGGCCGTTGTGGATGAACATGCCGAAGCCGTCGCTCTGGAAGCTTTCCAGGGCCGCGCGCGTCGCCGCGTTGCTCGAGCCCTGGCCGAAGTTCCAGGGCGACGCGGCGGCGGCGGCGCCGAGCAGCGCGGCGATGCGCAGCAGATCCATGGGGCAGCCCGACGCCATCGAATGAGAAGGCTGCAATTGGTTCCGAATCGGCGAGCAGTGCAAGGTGCATGGATGTTGCAGATCCGCAGCAGGAGCGTTCCTCGCACAAGCCTGCGACGAATACGATGGGCTGCGCACCTTCGTGGCCCCAGGAGGGACCCTTGGGAAGACGACCCGCCGGGCTTCGTGACGGAGGAGGGCGGGACCTGGACGAAATACAAAGATGTGGACATGTGCGGGCAGGGCGACGTCGAAATCATCGGGGACTGGAAGCGGTCTCGCACGATCCAGCAATTGAAGCGCATCGTCGAGGCCAAGGGCTATAGCGCCTTCACCGTCAGCGACAGCGTCCGACGACAGGAGCGCTGCCTCGCGCGATGGTCGCCTGCGAAAATCCCGCTCGTTCTAGGTCAGCGACGGCCAGCCCTCGTTCGGGCATGCGGCGCTGAAGAGCTTCGACTTCGAGCTCTTGCGGTCGCACTGCAAACCAATTTCCACCTGCTGCCACCATCCGTGTTCGATCTACATCTACACGCCGCCGAAGCATCTCCGGAAGCCGCCGGGGGGACCCAAGCCCCGGGTGGTCCTCGCGAAGAAGGACGATAAGCAGGTGTGCGTCTTCGACGCGCTCCCGCGCGCGGGCGGGGGCCTCGCGCCGCTGACGCTCGCGAGCCATCCGGGGCTGTGCCTCGCCAAGGCCCACACCGATGTCAGGCAAGCGGGCGAGTGGTCCTACATGGAGCTCTGCGTCTCGGACGCCCGCGCCGCCGCGGCCCAGGGCCTGCTCGTCAACGCGAAGATGGCGGGCAAGTTCATCGTGACGGAAGACGGGTTCGTGTTGGACGTCGCCTACTGGAAATACGAGGAGAGGAACACGGTGAATCTCGTCCGCCATGCCCACGGCCGAGACGACAAGACCTACGCGACGAATCACGACGGCAGTGGCGGGCGCAACTTCGTCGTCAACGCCGACGGCACCGTGACGCCGGAAGCGGCGGCGCATTTCGCCCTCGGGTGCCAATTCGCGCCGGCTTCGCCCCAGGTCGTGCCCATCGAGGGCGTCGCCTACGACCAGCCCGTCGCCGAAGCCTTCGGCGAAGGCGGGCCCATCGAGGGCGTCGTCGTCGGCGTCGCCCTGGCCCCGGCCAACAAGACCCCGTACTAGGGGCGGCCGGCTCCGTGCTTATGTCACATGATTGCGGGGGGCGAGGGGGCGTTGGGCTCGGGGCGTGTCGCAGGCCCAGCTCGTCGTCTTCTCCCACCAGCCGATGGAGGATTACTTGGCGGCCTAGGGCGCGCGCATGAGGAGGAAGAGCGCGTAGCGCACGCCGCGCTCGAGGGTCGAGACGCCGTGGGCGACGCGGTCGTTGTGGACCGTGTAGCTCCCGGCGGGGCGCCGCGGCTTCACGAGCTTGTCGTCCGCCGCGAAGACGAGGTCGCCGCCGTCGAAGTTGTCGTTCAGGCACAGCTGGAACGTCTTGTGGTTGACATCCGTGTGGAAGTTGATGCACTGGCCGACGGCCGCGGACCGGCGGAGCACGATCTCGTCGACGCGGCCGCCGTGCGATCGAGAAGAGCGCCTCGAGCGAGGCGTAGACCTTCGCGCCGAGGCGCGACGACGCCTCGCGGCGCGTCAGCGGCTTCTTGAAGTAGCGCGCGTCCGCGGCCCGGGCGCCGAGGTCGAGCTCCGAGCGCAGGGCCGCGCGCTGCGCCGCGGACAGCAGGCCCGCCGCCGGGAAGGACGCGAAGTACGGCGCGGCGCCCTCGGACCCGCCGCGGCGGCAGCGCGCCTCGATCTCCCGGACGACGGCGGCGGGCGCGTCGTCGAGTTTGGCGCCGGGTTGGAGGAAGGCGAGGCCGGGGCTTCCGGCGTGGGCGCCGAACGTGCCGATGTCGCCCTGCTGCTCGAGAATGCAATCGATTTGGTCGCCGTCTTCCATGTCGAGGTCCTGCGGCGTCTCGTCGTCGCGGACGCGCTGGCCGTTGAAGAGAAACCGAAGATCTAGCGCGTCGACGCCCTTGCGCTGGGCGTAAAGGCTGAAGACTATTTCGAGCTTCGTCGTCTTCTTGACCTTGTAAAAGGTCTCCTCGCCGCTCTGGTCCCGGATGCGGATGTTCAACGAGCTGTCCACCTTGGCGCGTTTAGGCGCAGGCTCCGCTTCCTTCTCGACGCGCACCGGCGCTGCCTTGGCCTCTGCGCGCGCCTTCTTCACGCCGGCGCGCGCCGCAGCGCTGAGCTTCGCGGCCATGGCCTCGAGCCGCTCTCCGAAATCGTCACCGCTCGAGGCGGTCGCCTCGACGGCGGCATTGACGGCCGCCTCGGCGGCGGCGACGACGGCCTCTTCGATGGCGCTCATCGTATGCGTGCTCTGCGACGGTCGACCCATAGACTCGGGCAACACGTTATGGCTAGTTAGCAATAACGCGATAACACCCCAGCTAGCCAATCAAATAACACTAAAGCAGATCGGAGTTAATTTTGACCCCTCGAGCTATGGGAGCTATTGGCACTTTTTTTTTGACTTTTTTTTTTCGATGCTCCTACGCGCCCCGGCGGACCCCCGGGGCACCAGGGGGTGGGGAAGGGCGCTGCGACGCGGCGGGTTGTCGAGGAACTCGCTTTAGCGCGCGTGCGACGGCCGCGTGTCGCGCCGGCGGCGCCCGCGCGGGACCGCGCGGCGCATTACGACGGTCGGCGCGCGTTCGCCCCCCCCCCCGCGCTCGCGCACGCCCCGGGCGGGTCCCCGGGGACCCCCTGGACCCTCCGCGGCTCGCGGCGCAAAAAAAAAAAAAGTGAAAAAAAAAGTGACCATAGCTCGGGGGGTCAAAATTAACCCCGGGTTGCTTTAATAACACCCTGCCGATGGCAGCCACTCGATTTTTCAAAATCAATAACACCCTGGCGAAAATTCTCGATAACACCCATAACACCCAGCCACCCGATCCTTAAAAAGCCAATAACGACCTAACACCCGAGCGTCCGAGGCCAATAACGCCCTAACGGTCTAACGGGTTGCACGAGTCGAGACCCAGATCCTTCGCGGGGCCAACCAAGTGGGTCAACATCCCCGGCAGATCTTGCAGGGCCGCCCTGCATCGGGACGGGACTTGGGACGGGTCGCCACCCACACACACAAAACACGCCCCCCTTAGGGCCCCGTCGCGTTGGGCACGGCGGAGACTTTGGCCTTGGCGTAGTAGTCCAGGGGCCCGCAGCCCCAGTGGGTCACGTAGCCGCCGTTGCGGTCGAAGGCCGCGGACGCGGGCGGGCTCTCGGCGACGTAGTCGAGGTGGGGCGTCGACGGCACGTAGTACTCGGCGGCGTAGGTCGCGCGCCAGAAGGCCGTCATCTCGTCGACGCGGTCCGCGTAGGCGGCGTCGTAGAAGAGGTTGTGCCGCTCCTCGGGGTCCGACGGCGCGTGGAACAGGAACGACGCCTCGACGTCGCGCGGGCACATGGAGCCGTTGTGGTGCTCGAGCCAGTTGATCGGGTCGACGCCGTCGGCGATCCAGGACGCGTTGAGCGACCGCACGAGGAGCTTGTAGTCGCCGCGGCGCAGCGAGAGGTGCTTCGCGCTCAAGGAGAAAACCACCGTGTCGCGGCTCGCGCCGCCGCCCGCGCCCGTGACGTGGCTCCAGACGTCGAGGGAGTCGTAGGTCGGGTCCTCGTCCCGCAGGTTCGCCCCGCCGGCGAGCGACACGAAGGTCTGGAGCCAGTCGACGTGGTGCACCAGACCGCCGTAGGCCGCGCCGCGCCGCCCCGCGGGCAGGAGGCTCGACTCCACGGCGCAGGGCACGCGCGTGCCCCCGTCGAAGTCCGTGAACTTGTAGCCGCGCAGGGGCGCGTTGGACCCGGCGCAGTCCGTCGAGCACGCGGACGCGCCGTTGTCGCTGTGGACCACGAGCACGTAGTCGCGGTCGGAGTTTAATAGCCGCTCGCGGACGAGCCCGACGCCCTTGTCCACGGCCCGCAGCCCGGCGGCGAAGCGCCGCCGGCTCAACGACAATTGAACGATGCGCGACTCGTTGAGGAACGCGTCGGCCTCGCCCGGCGCCAGCCCCGAGTCGACCTGGTCGCAGCCGTCGTTGCCGTGCATCGCGTGGTAGGCGAGCCAGAGGTGCAGGGGCCGGTCGTCCCGGTCGTCGAGGACGTCGAGCGCGAACTGGGTGAAGAGCGGCGTCGTGTGCGTGCCGAAGTAGCGGCTCCCGTTGCGCACGCCCTCGCCCTTGCGCGCCGTCATGAGGTCGCGCCACTGCGTCTGCGTTCCGTCCGCGCGGGAGAAGTTCTTCGTCTCGTGCGTGAGGTAGTTGACGCCGGACGTGAAGTAGCCCGCGAAGGACTCGAAGCCCCGGGCCCAGGGCATCAAGAGCTCGTTGCAGTGGCCGATGTTCCACTTGCCGATGCCGTGCGTCGCGTAGCCTCGCGCCTTCAGCGCCTCGGGCAGCAGGGGCGCGCCCAGGGGCACGGACCAGTTGCTATACGCATCGAGTTCGATGCCCTGGGACTCGAAGCGCGAGAAGCCCGTGCGGTGCGTGAACTTGCCGCTGAGGAGCGCCGCGCGCGCCGGGCTGCAGAACGCCTGGCCGTAGTAGTTCGTGAGCCGCACGCCGCTCGCCGCGACGCTCCGGATGTTCGGCGCCACGGCGTCCGGGAGATCCGTCGAGTCCCAGAGGTCGTTGCTGCCGACGTCGTCGAGGGTGATGAGGACGATGTCGGGCTGATTCTCGTGCGCGCCGCTCGGCGCGCTCGCCCGGACGGTCTCGGTGCTGAGCGCGACCGTTTGCTGCGGGTCCGCCGCGGGCGCGACGACGCGCGCGGCGACGAAGCAGGCCGCGGCGAGCCCCGCGGCGACGAGCCCGGCGGCCACCGCGGGGCGACGCTGCCCGCCCATGCTGCGTAGGCCAACCTCGCGGATACTCTCCTAGGCATCAAGTCAAAGCTGCCGTTTTGGGTTGCGTGGGACCACGATGGCGGGCTACGAGCGGCTGCCCGGGAGCCGGCGCCGCTGGGTCGCGACCCTCGCCGGGTCGGCGGCCCTGTGCGGCGCCGCCTACTACGCGGCGCCGGCGCTGCCGGCGACGCTGAGCAGCCTCGTCGCCGAGCGGCACGTCGCCACGGTCGCCGACGACGACGACGACGGCGGCGCCACGAGCCGGGGCTCGCGGACGAAGATCACGGGCATCGGCAAGTCGACCTACTTCGCCAGCGAGCAGGGCATCCAGCGCTTCACGGCGTTCCTCGAGACCCACCTGCCCGTGAAAAAACTGGAGAACTTTGCGAGCGACGACGACGACGACGGGACTACGTGCGTCGACTGGATGAAGATGTGCATGATGGACCGGAGCGGCATGCCCTGCAACAACTCCCACGGCAACTTCCAGCTCCACGCCGTCGACGCCATGATGCGGCCCACGGGGCCCAAGGACCTGGGCTACTACGAGAAGGCCTTCGACGAGGCCGCGGCGTCGATCGCGCGCGCGAAAAACGACGGCGCGGACTGGGACCCGCTCTGGGACACGTCCGTGGCGTTCTACACGTCGGACCTCGACTACTACGCGCGGTCCTTTGCGGCCGCGGGCGTCAAGCACGTCATCTTCAAGTGGCACCTCGAGAATTTGGCGGACGACGACGACGACGCGGACGCCGCGGCCTACCACTCGCTCCTCGTGCACGTCAACGGCACGATCATCAACTTGGAGCTCCAGAGCGACAATTTAACCTTATCGGAGGACTTCTCCGTGGCCTTCGAGTCCGACATGCCGCGCTACTTTAAGCGCGAGGGCATGACGTTCCCGCCGTCGCTCGACGACGCCGCGGGCGAGAAGCCCTTCGTCTGGCCGACGAAGATCTCCTACGGCACGTCCGACGCGACGCGGGACGCCGCGTTCCTGCGGAACGTCGTGGGCTGGAATCTATTGAGCAAGAAGACGTACGACCACGGCGTCGAGATGGCCACGTTCGAGACCGCTTCCGACCACACGACGCTCCTCCAGTACGTCCAGCGCACCTTCAACTCGGCGAGCCGCATGCAGGTCGAGGACTTCGAGACCTACCTGAACAAGGCGCACACGAAGTACATGGTCGCGCCGGACTACGGCTTCGACCGGCCCTGCGACTTCCACTTTGGGCTCGCGTCGGCCAACATCACGGACATCGTCCGCCGGAACAACGCGACGGCCGAGCCGAGCCGCTACCGCTTCTTCCACACGACGGACAGCGACTTCAGCGGCTCGAACCGCTACAACGACTCCTTCATGTACATCGCCCAGAAGGGCGGCGCGTGCGTCCAGCTCGTCGGCGAGATCACGACGCACTACGACACGGGCAACTACTCCTTCTGCGCCGGCTACTGACGCCCCCCTGTTTCCCCCCCGATTTATGCTTGTTCATCTCACACACACTTCTTACACGCGGGACGGGGGGCGGCCGCGTTCACTTCTTCTTGAGCACGAGGAGCGCGCTCGTCGCGCCCATGGGGTTGCCCGCGAGGTGCGGGTGCTCCGCGGAGCAGTGCTCCGTCTCGTAGTCGGCCTCGGCGTTGAGCAGCTGCTCGACGAGGGCCGTCGAGATCGTGTAGGGCGGGCCGGCCATGTAGTAGCGGACGAGCTGGATGGCCGACGTCCGATACGACGACTCGATGGGGAAGACGAGGCTGATGACGCGCCCGCCGGGCTTGAGGAGCTTCGTCTCCTGCTTGGCCCAGCGCTCGCGCGCGCGCGGGTGCAGCGCGCAGAGGAAGGTGCAGTCGAAGATGACGTCGTAGGCGCCCTCGTGCTCGAAGAAGTCGCCCTCGACGAACTCGACCTTGTCGACGCCGGGCGACGCCTGCTCCGCGTGCCAGGCCTTGGCGGCGGCGATGGCGTGCGGGCTCATGTCGAGCGACACGACCCTGCCGACGTGCGCCGCGAGAACGATCGCGTCGTGGCCGCGGCCCGCGCCGGGGATGAGCGCGACCTCGTCGCCCTTGAGGTCCATGGTCTCGAGGTAGCGGCGCAGCGCCTCGCAGCCCGCGGGCGCGTCGAAGGCCTCGCCGGCGGGCATGCCGCCCTTCCAGAGCTCGTCCCAGTAGGGGCTCGAGCCCTCCTTGGCCGCGTCGTTGTTGTGCGTGCTGGCGGAGAAGGAGAAGAGGAACTTGTTCGCCGCGTCGCCGTCCTTGGACGCCATGCTTGGTGGTGGCGGTGGCGGCTTGGTGGCGGCTTGGTGGCGGCGGTGCTCGTGGTGGGGCTCGTGGGGCAGGCCTAGCTCGAGTTTTTTCTGCGACTGCAAGTTCTACTGCAACATGAAACAGCAGGCCGCGGCCGCGGTACAGAGCTCCCGGCAGAGTATGAAACAGCACGGGGCCTCAGCCGCGGCCGCGGTAAACAGCTCCCGGCAGAGTTTCTGCGACTGCAAGCCTACTGCAAGCCTGCTGCAAGGCCACTGCAACATGAACACAAGAGCACAATTAATCGCCGTCCGTCAGGACAGGCCGAGGGAGACGGAGATGAAGGACGAGTCCGTCACGTCGCTCGCGGCGACGCTCGCGTCGTCGTCGTCGTCGTCGAAGGCGAGGGCCGCGGCCGCGGCCGCGTCGTGGTCGCCGGCGCTCGCGGCGGCGGCCGCGTTGGCGTCGGCGACCCAGCCGTCGCGGTCCGCGGCCGTCGCCGCGTAGAACTCGTAGCGGAAGGCGCCGTCGCCCGGCGCGGCGACGACGAAGCCGAAGCGCTTCTTCGCGGGCTTCTCGTCGGACGCCGCGGCCGTCGTCCCCGCGAGCGGGATGAGCTTGAACGTGTTCTTCGACTTGACGAACATGGACAGGCAGGGCCCGGCGTCGCGCCCGTTGTCCATGGTGCGCGTCGAGAGGCGAAAGTGGCGCTCCTTCCACTTGCGGAAGCGGCGCTTGAGCTTGACGTGGAGCCGGCCCTCGCGCGTCGTCACCGTCACGCCCGGGAACGGTTGCGCCGCGATCGCGGGCGCGGGCGCCTCGTCCTCGTCCTCGGGCACCGTGGGCAGCGTCGCCTCGAAGGCGTCGCGCCGGTAGCGGCCGTCGTCGTCGGGCTCCGTGAAGAGCACGGACCCCTCGTCGTCGTCGTCGCCGCCGCCGGCGGCGCCGGCGTCGTCGCCCTTGAGCCGCGCGACGATGTCGAAGAACCAGGACCGGGGCTCGGAGATCTCGGAGACCTCGGGCCCGGCCCCGGTCGCCCGCGCGCCCTCGAGCGCGCGGCCCCGCGCGTCCGCGAGGCCCTCGTGCGCCGCGCTTTCCGAAAGCGCCGCGCTCTCGAAGTGGTGGTCCGCGACGAGGCGCCGCATGGCCCGCACGAGGGCCAGGCGCCGCGCCACGGACCCCGCGGCGAGCTCGACGTCGCCCGACGGGTGCGCGACTTTGAACGCCGCGAGGCCCTCGTCGTCCGCGGCGTCCGCGTCGCCCGCCATGATGATCTCGCAGCCGTCCAAAAACAGCGTCGCCACGCGCAGCGTCTCGTCGCGCGCGTCGAAGAGCTGGAGCGCCGGGCCGACGTCCGCGCCGTCGGACGTCGCGTGCGCGAGGACCCGCGCGGTCCGCGGCGTCCACTCGCCGTTCAAGTCCAGCCGCTCGAGCACGGCGCCCGCGAGGACGACGCGGTCCGGGGCGGCGACGACGACGCGGTCGTCCTCGGGCTCCCCGCGCAGGCGCGCCGCGAGCGCCGCGACGGTCGCGAGCGGGCCGCCGCCGTCCGCCGGCGGCCGCGGCGGCGCCGCGGCTCTGACCCACGCGACCAGACCCGCGGCGTCGTCCGGCGGCGCCGCGGGCGCCCGGAGCCAGCCCAGCAGCGACGGCGGCTCGTCCAATTCGTCGTCGCCGCCGAGGCCGTCGTCGTCCTCTAGTTTCTCGACGTCGAGATCGTCCTCCCTCGCGGCCGCGATGCTGCTCCGGAGCCCCGCGGCGCAGTCGACGATGTGCCGCTCGACGGCGGCGCGGATGGCCCTGGCCCAGCGCGCGCGCTCGCGCTCGTCGCCGCAGCCGAATTCGACGGCCCGGTCCATGTCCGGGTGGTCGATCGACAACGGATACAGCCCGGCGTCGCGCGGCTTCTCCGCCGCGCGGCAGCCGCCGAGGAGCACGCGCCCCGCGGCGCCGCCGCCGGCCCGGAAGAGCTGGAGCGACGGCCCGAGGTCCAGACCGTCGGCGGACCACGTCGGCCGGGTTAATTTGGCGTGCGCGCGGACCCAGCGGCCGTCGCGGCCCCGGACCCGGACCGCGCCGACGACGAGGAGCCCGTCCGCGGGCGTCATGAACTTCTCGCGCGCGAAGGCGTCGCCCGCCCGCGGCGACGTCGCGAGGTCGCCCAAACCCCGGAGCCAGGTCGTCGCGATGCTGTGGAGCGCGGGCGCGTCGCCGTCCTGCGCAACGCAGAGCAGCTTCGGGTCCTCGAGGGCGCAGCCGTCGTCGCCCTGGTCCCGGCAGAGCGTCGCCGCCCGCAGGTCCGCGCAGACGGGGAGGCTCGGCGCCTCGCAGAGGAAGAACGACGCGCGCCAGCCCTCGGGCGGCGGCGGCGGCGGCGGCGGCGGGCCGGCGTCGTCGGCGGCGACGCTCACCGGGGGCGCCGCCGTGGTCCAGTCGAAGGACTCGGGCAGGTCCGACGCGCCGCTCGACGCGTCGCTGCCGGTCTCGTCCTCGTCCGGCACGCCTCGCACTCGTGCGAGGAAAGCTTCCATCATCGTCCGACGGCGGGGCAGCCTCGGCTGCTTGAAGGTTAATTGAATAGTTCAAACCGGGGCTCGCCAGCGCTGCCCGATGGCTGATCAAGAATTATTCGAATTCGCAGAGGAAGCCGTAGAGGGGCCATATTATTCGACCCTCCAGCGCGCTGTCGAACGCAATGACACGAGCTCAGTCCGCAGATTGCTCGAGCTTGGGGTTCACCCGCCGGCATTGTTTCAGACACCTGCTTTGTGTTGCGCGCTTTCCAAGGAAGTCGTCGCAATTCTGGTAGAAGCGGGCGCGAACGTCGATTGGGAAGATATTTCTGGTGGCACAGCGTTACATTTCGCAAAGGCTCGCTGTGTCGAAAAACCAGGGCCAGAATCGTACGGAGTCCTAGCCGCTCTCATAAAGGCCGGGGCTGATGTGAACGCGAATCACCGTGTGGTGGGGTGCACCCCACTCTTTCACCCTCATTGGTCCGATCAGTGCATCGCGCGCGCGGGCCAGCAAGCGCTCGGTGCGCGTCCAGCGACCCGTTCAGAGTTCTGGCGCCGTCGCGCTTTCCTTGCTCTACTTCGCGCGGGGGCGCTTGTGAGGACTCCTATGGCAATTTTGAAACGCCCGGATCTGTGCGAGTCCCTCAAGCGCTTCGCGGACTTCGACCAATACTGCGCCGACCACCGCCGCGTCTGGGTCTCCGTCGTCACCAAGTGTGCCGCCGTCCCGTGGGACGCGGCCGGCGTCGTCGCGGCTTTCGTCTCTCCCCGCGGTGGCTACTAAGTGCGTTCAAAGTTTACCCTCTCGGCGCGGGCGCTCCGGCGGCACCTTCTGGCCTCGGGCTCATGTTGCACGACTAGCGAAGTGCGTTACCGCGGCGCGCTTTCGCGCGCTCGCGCGCCGCCTACTCGAGCTTGCGGCTCGCCCAGTCCGCGGCGCTCGCGACGGCGCCGGGCCCCTTGACGACGTGGCCGTGCCAGGACCGGCACGTGGACTTGGCCGCGTCCTGGAAGCGGAAGTCGAGGCTCCAGCGGATGTGGTCCGACACGTTCTCGCCGCCGCGGTGGACGAGGATGTTGTTGAAGAGGAGCACGGAGCCCGGGTCGAGCTCGACGGAGACGGCCCCCGGCTCGACCTGGGCCATGATCTCGGGCTTGATGGCCGTCATGTACGACCCCACGGGCGCGGCCGTCTCCTCGTCCGCCTTGAAGCCGTCGATGGAGTCCGGGATGGCGCCGCCTTCGAGGCCCGCGGCGCCCATGGAGTAGCAGGACACCAAGGCGTGCTCGAGGAGGCCGAGCTCGTGGGATCTGGGGACGACTTTCATACACCCGTTCCCGACGCGCGCGGGCACGAGCGGCGTCCAGACGTTGACGACCTTGCCGACGCCAAAGTTCTCGAGGCGCTCGGCCTCGGGCGCCGTGCTCGGCCCGCCGTCGCTCCGGAGGCCCGCGTCCTGGTGCCAGACGACCGCGTGGACGGGCGAGGGCGTCTTCGGGCGCGCGCTGTAGTTCGGGTAGATCCTCGTACTCTGGGCCTCCGGGAGCAGCGCGCCGACGACGTCCAGGAGCGTCGGATCGCAGAGCAGCGCATGGAACTCCTCGCGGTGGAGCTCCGCGCGGAACAGGTTCGGCAGCTCCTCGGGGCAGCCCCGGCAGAGGTCCATGAGCCGCGTCTCGAAGGGGCTGCCCTCGCACGCGTCGGCGACGGCGCCTTTCGCCAGGAGCCGCTGGGCGAGTGCTTCCACCAGCGCGGCGCAGCCTTGCTTCGCCTCGGCGACCACCGCGTCCGAGAGCACACCGGAGACGATGACGTATCCTTGTTCGGCGTAGTGGGCCTCCCAGGCAGCCCGGTGTTCGAGCGGAAAGGTGTCGCTGCGCCGGAGCCCGACGTCGGGCTGGACCGTTTTCGCGTAGTGGCCCTTCATGTTCGGCCGCGCCGCCACCTTGGTCAATTCTTTCAGCATCTCGGCCATTGTCCAATCGGCGTGGCTTCTCGTCGGCGATTTGCGGTTGTTGATGTTCAACAAACCCGATTAGTGGGCAAATGATGGCCTCACATCGCGCCGTGTCGCGGCTCGCGCACCAGCACCGCCGCCTGTCCGCTCTCTCCCTCCAGCCGACGCCGCCCTTCGTGCTCGAGCGCTTCTTCGCGGCGCACGAGTTCTCCTGCAAGCACGCGCTCTGCTCCAGCGACACGGAGGCCGTGAGCCTCGCCGACACCGTGGCGCGCATGAGCGGCGACACGCGCGCCCTGTGGGAGTCGCTGAGCCTCGGCTACACGGAGACCCGCGGCCACCCGCGCATGCTCGAGCTCCTCGCGGAGGACTACGACGGCCTCGCGCCGGCGAATTTTCAAGAGCTCGCGCCCCAGGAGGCCATCCTGCTGACCTTCGCCGCGCTGCTCGAGCCCGGCGACGCCGTCGTCGCGACGGCGCCGGGCTACCAGAGCTTCTTCACCTGCGCCGAGGCCGCCGGGGGCGTCGTCGCGGAGTGGCGGCCGCGGTTCGACGGCGGCGCCGCGCGCTTCGACGTCGCGGACCTCGAGCGGCTCTGCGCGGCGCACCGGCCGAAATGCATCGCGGTGAACTTCCCCCACAACCCGACGGGCGCCCTGCCGAGCGAAGAAGAGTGGGCGCGCGTCGTCGACGTCTGCGACGCGCACGGCGCGTATCTCTTCGCGGACGAGATCTACCGGGGCCTCGGGCGGACGCTGCCCGCGGCGGCGGCGGCCTACGGCCGGGGCATCTCCCTCGGCGGCCTGTCCAAGTCGCTGGGCATGCCCGGCGTCCGCGCGGGCTGGCTCGCGGCGAAAGACGACGCGTTTCTGACGCGCGTCGCGGAGCTGCGCGCGCGTCCGCCGGCGCCCTCGGGTTCGTTTCGCCGCGCGACCCCTTCCGTCGCAGGACTACACGACGATCTGCTCGTCGGCGCCGTCGCAGATTTTGGCCATCGCCGCGCTCGAGGACAAGGCCGCACTGCTGCGGCGGAGCAACGCGTTCGTGGACGCGGGGCGCGCGGCGGTGTCGGGCGTCCTGGACGCGCACGCGGACAAGCTGACCTGGGGCCCGGGCCCCGCCGCCGGGCCCGTCGGCTGGATCCGGCTGGAGCGCGGGTCCGCGGCCGCGTACGTCGACGCGCTCCTGGAGTCGGACGACGGGCTTTTGTTATTACCGTCGACGGTCTTCGACGCGGGCGACGCCCACGTGCGCGCGGGCTTCGGCCGCGCGGACTCGCCGGCGCTCATGGCCAAGTGGCGCGCGACGCTCGACGACGCGGACCACCCGGCGACGGCGCTCCTTCGCGCGTAACGCTTTTTTAGAGGGGAGGCGCCCGCCGGGAGGGGGCTCGTGTGTCTACTCCTTGAGGCCGATCTCCTGGGTCGGGTTGTACTTCTCCTTGAGCGCGGTCTCGACGCGGTTCATGCCCACGGAGCCCGTCACGAAGAGCGTGAAGATGACGCCGAACGCGAAGAAGATCCAGAGCGCCGTCGACTTCTCGTCCGTGTCGAGCGCCGCCTTGAGGAGGAGCGTGTAGATGCCCAGCAGGCACATCCAGAGCACGATGAAGAGGCTGCCGATGATGCCGAGGTCCTCGCAGCTCAGGAAGCATCCGAGGTTGATGTCGACGTCGTGGCCCGCGCTGTGGTGGTAGACGAGCTTGAAGGGCACGTAGCCCTTCTTCTCCTGGATCTCCTTGAGGGACGCGGGCCGGAAGTCGCGCTCGTCCTTGGAGCCCTTGACCTAG